TAGTTATATATGTTGGATATATACATGCTAAATAATTCTATGTTTAAATGTAAGAAATTCTAGAACCCATATTTTTAATATATATATATTTTTTGTTTTTAAAAATAAAAACTCTATTCAATCAGATGTTCACCTTGCTGAAGTTCCAAAAAAAGGGGGGGGGAGGGGCAAAGAGACTTTGAAAAAAAAAGTCTTTGAAAGAGCAAAGTATAAAATATGGTGAAAACGTTGAAAGGTATTTTATTACCATAAGCTGTAGTAAATGTGAATTTAGTCTCGAGTGACCTAAATTAAATACAGAAACTTATACACTATTTTCTCTGATGGGTCTAATGAAAATACAGTTTTTAAGCAAGCTTTTAAAAAAAACCAAACAAAAGAAAGCATGTTAATGTGAAATGATCCTCCACTAATGATTTTCTTTTAAAAAGGAGAAAAAAACTTCCTATAAAGCCTAAACAAGGCAGAAAAGACACACAGACACACATCTGTCATATGTTTGCGGCTTTATAGTTACTGCTTTAAGAAAGGATGTGAGTTATGAAGTGAGTCCTTTTGTAAACATTCTAATAAAGTCTGGATAAGACACACAAGGCATCAGAACCCTTCAAGCTGCTGTTCTCTAAATAACACTAAGAATTATATGGAAGTCTCCAACGTCCACGTATAAATTGTTACACCAACTCAAAACATTAGACTGCTGCTTTTTCCTTTATTCTTTTTTTTTGCTTCATTTTAAAGATTCTTTTAAGAAAACCTGCTTTATTCTTCTACTTTGCAAAGGTGAGAACAGTGCCGTGAAAAATCTACATTTTATAAGATTCCCGTGCTTTTTAGAGAAAGAGATCAGTATATTTAATTTCTGAGTCCTAATTCCCCCTTCGCCCCCTTCTAAAGCCTCTATTCCTTAGTTCTATGGAGGGAACCAAAGATGACATGAGCTTGAGCTGTTCTCGGCATTTACTCTTACGAGGAAGGTTGGTAAAAGGGACATAGAAAGGCCGATTAGCCTCTGATTACTTTGCTAACTGTCGTCTTTAACAACAAAAATGAGAAGACAATAGATTTTAAAAGTATAGTGGGGGAGATGGACACATATGTAATAACTTAATAAAGAAATTAAAAATATATATAAGTATAGAACACACAGTAGACTATCTTCTCTTTTTCTCCCCCATCTTTCCTAGTAAATATTTTTGAATCAAATAATTTCATTCGTTTGGGATCAATTTCCACAAACACTGTTTAAAGAACTTACATTCTTTCCTGTTCTCAGACTATATAGTATTGCTAGTTCAAATCTATTTCTCCTAACACGAATGACTCTTTTTAAGAGCTATTTTTTATCATTTAATTCTAATCAAATATCAACTCCTGAAAAAGGACGTGTTAAAAAAATATAAAAATGATTTCCACTAGTTAAAGAAAACAATATTCTTCATTTCTAAAAGTACTTAAAGTGCAAGAAATGTTAAATCAAGAGAAAATCTGAAACTGTTAAAAGGAATTGACTAAAGTAAAATTAACAAATTATTACCAAAGTATTGATAACAAGTTTTGTTTCATGACTATTTACAGTGTTACTAACTAAAAGCAACAAAGAAATATAAATATGACAAAAAATAAATAAAATAAAAACTAACACTACAGATTAAGTATGCTGGCTTGTGTAGGATGTGGAACTCTAATCAACTTCCTAAGACACTCTAATTAGTATTTACTATTATTTCATGAAGATTTATGTTCTTTAAATTTACTGTTAAATTTAGTCTGTGAATCTCACATCATGAATCTATTTCTATTTTCTGCAATAGGTATTACCTACAAATAAGAATGGCTACTGCAAGATTAGATGTCAAAAAAAGAAAAGTAGAAAGAGCAAAGAATTTGAGATTATAAAAGTCATAAAAATATTTTAATTTTTACTTGACTTTCTATTAACAACACCCAGCAACTCTGGGACACTCACCCTCTTTAACTATCACTATATATATGTATGCATGCATGACAACAAAATACGTTTCAATAGAAATATATTTGAACTAGCGAAGCAAAATTGCTTGAAGCTTTTGATCTGTCTCCTAGCTCCCATCTCTGAAAGTCTTTTCCCCTCAACAGTTACATTCAAAAAGTCCAAGATATACAGCTGATGATTCAAGCTGAATGACACGACGATAAACTATGGTTTCTCCTGAAGATAAAATACGTCATAAATCGGTGCAACACTTACCTCATTTTAAATATTACTGTCTCCTTTTATCAGGTAACACTATATGACCTCCCCTTACCTTCCCTCTTCCCATATTTTACATGGGATTTTAATTCTATACAATGATCACAACCAGAATTTTTTTTTAATTAAAATAGGATATATGGCTTTAAAGGCTTAGGTTATCTGATAGACAGATTTAATTTAAAAAAAAATAACGAGGACAGTCTGACTTCTGATGCCCTGTAAAATATGGCAATCACGGAATTAGACCAATTTTTAATTGCAATAACTCTCTATACTTAGCTGCAATTTATCAAATGCTATAAAATGATAGGCAGTACGGTTTCATAAAGTGGAAATGCATTCACAGCTAAATGGCAAAGAGATATTTTTGTAGGGAGTATATGACAACATAATGTGTCTTTTTTCCTCATTAAAATATCTATTCATGAATCACAGTGGCTCCATCAACACAGTATTGGTAGTGGACTGCTTGATTTATGCCGGCCAGACTCTAGCCAGAAGTTAGCCTTTTTCTGGATACTCTAGTCTGGATTACACTCCTGAAATTACTAAATGTGTTAAATGTACTAGGATAAATCCTGATTAGCACAGCTTTGGACTCATATCCTTCATCTTCCCTTGTTGAGAGGGGGGGCTCTCTTCCTTGGCTGAATAAAGAGGAAGGAGGTTCCCCAGTTGGGAAAGAGCAGCTGGGAGGGATGCACCAGTGGGCAGCGGACAGCAGGCTAACCTTTTCCCTCCCCACCTGCCCCAGAGCAGACACTATGCAGCCCTTCCGGATACACCAGTCTTGTCTATCATGGGGAACATTAGTGGCAAAGACTTCTTCCCATTCTCCAGTCGCTTTTATCTGAAACTGGGAATCTGAAGAGAAACCTGTGGACTCAGCCCCCTGACTCACACCCGCAACTGACTCTATCTTTTGAGCTTTGTTCTTCATTTCTCATAATATCTCAGAAGTCACTTAATGAACTCTTAATTATACCCTTTCACCAGAAGGTCCCTGTAATCTGCTGATTCATTCCATCACACATTAAGGGAGATTCCCAAACCAGATGAAATCTCTTTATTGACTCAATCCATCCTATTAAAATCATTGCACGCTTTTTTTTTTAACCGCATAAGGTCTCTTTACTATCTGAGAGCTTTACATACATGTCAGTAAATGACATACCCTATTTTCATATAGTATGAAAAAGAAGTAAGATGCCTTTTATGCAATCCTATTGATTTTAAAGGTTTCCACTTAGGGCATGCTTTGTGAGGCTTTTCTAATTCTGGTGATAGATTTGTTCATATCAGACTGTTTCACCATCCCATGCCTTTGCCACACCCTTGAGTGGACATGGGGTTAATAGTGCAATCTATAACCTTGACACAGAATGAAGCCAATTAGTCTCAACATTCTCTCCCAGCAGCTTTCCCAACCCATAACCCTGAAGCCCCAACTTTACCTGAGTCCTGAATACTGCCAGCTTTCCCTCTCCCAAGCTCTAAACAACATTCTTTCTACACGAAAGGGTTCTCTTCTTCCTTCTTGCCTTTGACAAGTAAACCTCCCGCCTGTGCTGCGCGTACTCCCATCTCCTCTTGCCTCCCCAGACACTTTGCATCATCAATTATCAGCTCTCATCCTCGCCAGGGACTCCTAACAATGTCTTCAAAGACACATGCAACCAGTTGGGGAAAAAACTACTTCATGTGTCCCACCACATTCTTCAGCTATTCTTCCATTTCTGTCCTTTTCTTTGCTATTAACTTCCCAAGCACTCGATCTTCTTCTAGCGCACATAAGCCACGCATCATTAATTACTGATTTCATGTCTATCTTCTCAAGAGAGCTATACACTCCATAAAGGCAGAGATTAAGTTGTCTTGTTCCAGGCTATAAGCTCCATGCCTAATACGGTCTGGCACATAGTAAGCATTCAAAAATATTGATGAAATTGGATTTTTTCATTTTAATAAGTGCTTCTTTTTTTTTTTTTTTTTACCTCTTTCACCATAATTCCTGAAAATCTGGTTTCCACTTCTACTCTCATGAAATTGTACACTAGCAAAAGTGTTATGGTTTGGGGGGTGCCAGAAGCAAGGAGGAATAAATGATAAAACCATTGGATAGAGGAGTAAAGGAGAAGGGGGGGGGGGGAGAGATAGAGAGAGAGACATAAAACCACCAATATTTAGCCAGAAAACTAAAATTTCAAAACACATGAAGAAATCTAATAAATTACTGTCTCAACAATTACTTACAAATCGATACATAAAATAACATTTTTCTCAGCCTTCACTTTTTTGACCTTTAAGAACCTGATGCACTTGAGGCCACTTTCTTTGGGAACCCTCCAGCGAACGGTTCTCCTCACAGTCCAGTTCCTGAGACTTTTTCTCAGTCTCATTCCTCCGACTTTTATAAATCCACCCCAACCTCCTTGCCTGGAATGTTGTGCAAATTCCAATCTCTCCCATCTCAATCCACACTGAACATTATAAGGAGGCCAATTGCCCCAGTTCAAAAATTTCCAAAGCTTCCACTGCTTGTATTGCTAAATCTTAACTCCTTATTCTGGCATTCAAGGCCCTTCATAATCTATACCTTAATCTCTCTCCAAACATACCTCCCAAATTACTTATTGTCAGCCCAATCTACTTACTAAGACCATGAATGTCTTATGTTTTCTTCCCTAGGACTTTGCTTAATGTCAGTTGCCCTGCCTAGAATGTGTCCCCCTCCTTTTAGTATATCCAAATATTATTTTTCTTTTTTTCCAAAAATTGCACCAAAGTAAAGCAGAGCTCTGGTTGATGGGAGCGTGTTGCTTAGCTGTTAGCAGGTCGGCTCTCACTACACGCTTATTGGGTAGTAGCGCAACCCTAAGAAAAGAATGGCTATTATTCATCTTTTAATATTCAGTCCAGATTAGTGTTTCTTCATTAAGACCCAACGAAAAAAATCCGAAGAATAATGGTGTCCATTTGAACCATTTCTTTTGGAAACCAACCATGGACTTAATTATTTCTTCTGTTTTCTTTTGTTAGGTTGGGAATAGCTTTGTAATACATTATAGGTGTTCAAAATTCAAAGGGTATAGAAGTACATACCAAAAAAAAGTCTTTCTCCTAACCCCATCCTTCAACCAGCTAGGTTCCCTCTTAAAGCAACCAATGTTATCAGCTTTTTGTGTATTTTATTAAAAGTAAATAAAATGCATTGTTTTTTAATATGTTTAGTATTTAGTATCAAGCAAATATTTATCTCCATAGATATTTAATGCTTTATGTAGTAACATGTTTTTCCCATTTATGGACACTGTGTGCCTTGGTTTCTTTATAGATTTTAAAAAATTATTTATAGATTATTTTTAGAGAGAGGGAGAGAAATATCAATTTTGCTCCAATTATTTATGCATTCATTGGTTGATTCTGGTATGTGTCAAACCTGCAACCTTGGCGTATCAGGATGACACTCTGACCAATTGAGCTACCCAGGCAGGGCCTTGGCTTTGGTATAGAAATGTCTGTCACAAATATTCCTCAATTGTGCAATTTTTTCTTTCAAGTTTGAAACAGACTAGTCAATGGTAAGACTGAATCTCCACTACCTTCCTCCTTAATTAAGAAGGATAAAAAAGTAAGCAGTAGGTTTTCTTCAAGCACTTCCTCCCCATACACAGCCTTTAAAGGAAAATTAAAGCACAACTAATCACTTATGCAGATGTGCATTGTTTTACTGCCATAGTTTAATGTGTTCCAGATAAGGCACAGATTATCCTATTTCCTTTGGTTCTGATACATATGCTGATATGAAGATTAACAGAATCACTGATTTGTAATGGATGATTCTGTTTCATTCTAGAATCTCTCATTTCTGCTTTCCAAAGTTCGCTGAAGGTATGTTTGCACTGAAATTTTTGTTTCATAATTATGTCCCTCTCCATTTCACCTGGCACATATTAGAAATGACAGGAGAGCCCACCCACCTTGTTACTACTTCTTAAAAGCCCTATAGTTTCCTATAATTATGTTAAACATATATACCAAACTCTGAAATGATAAAGCTTCAATATTTTTTTATTTATTTAAAGTTATAAAATAATACTTAAAGGTCAAGCATTGAACTCAAAATAAGTTCCATTCATAGTCAAACATTGGACCCAGCAGTACTAACTTAAGGTATTACCCAATACATAATGAAGTATATGTTTGTAATCAAATGGTTTATTTGGTCAATAGAGAGCTAAAGCAGATAAGCTAGAACTCCTCAAAATTCATTAAAGTGTCCTCAACTATCAGATTGGCTATTTTTAATGGATCAAAATTATTATATAGGTGCGAGATATTCTCTTAACTTCATAATATACAAAACAGCAACTTAATGTATACCCCATGCATGACCCTGGAATTCTTTCTGATTAATCTTATATTTAAGTCAATACCCAGGGTTTAAATATTAATTATAAACTCCCAATTTTTGTTAGGAAAAAAGTATCTTGAACCACTAAATAAAATTCCATTTTCAAAAAGTTAGTCTAGATTATTTTTATCTATACCAGCACTAATAATTTTTAAAAATTCGAATTTTTTTTCTTAGAACACAGTAGAAAGTACTAGCATTGTAGGCTTAAGAATTATAGTAACTCATTAAATCACCAGAATTATAATGCTGGTGTATGCTATTTTCTTTAATGGCATATTTCCTTTCCAACTAAACACATACGCACAAACAATATTTTCAAAAGTTTACTTTTATTCCTAACGGCACTTCACCTAGAATAGTCTCATAAATACAAAATTCATTGTAAATTACAAAATATGCAGGTGTGAGTGAGATCAAGTAGGCTTCACTAATTCTGATCCATCACAAAGATTGGGTTTCTTTTTTATCCTCAACTTTGCTAAACTTTGTTTGGGGTTTTATTTCAAACTTTGGGTCCATATTATCAGCTACTATATTTGAATATTTACCAGCTAAGAAATTAAGTAACATTTAACAGTTAAACAAATTGCTCAAGTGAGATGTTAAGACACTGTTAAGGCAGGTTGGAAGCACTTAGTTTTGAAAGGCATGATATATAGCTAGGGAAGTGAGTGTACCCAAATAATTACACTGTCTTTGAAAGAGTGGCCTATTTATAAGTAGAATAGCCAATGAGATTGAGGTAGTAGTTGTCAAATTTACAGGAAGTAATTAAAGGGGCAGAGATTCTCTTCTTTTACTGGTTGTTTCTGGATTCCATAGAGATTATGAAGAGAGACAAGAAAAATGACAGAGCAGCCTGAACAGCCCATCAAACTTTCTACTAAGAAAATTGTTTTCCTCCATGGGTAAACTTTCCAGTTAACAAACACTTTTTGCTTTTATTTTATACTTGTATTGATTGTGATTTTGCACACAAAAATGTTTGATTTCTACATTTTAATGAAAACATGGGGATGTTTTTCCCCGAGAGACTCGTTCCCTGTTTCACCAGCATTTTGTAATCCTCTCCATCTTCAGTTCCTTTGGTTTGCTGCCATCTGGCTTTGTGCCTTTGATTTTGTGAATAAGGTCCCCAATTGTTTCTGCAGCTGTTATCAGTGCAGTCTGCCCTGTTGCAAATGGAGAAAACAGAAAAAAAAAATCTCCACAACTTACACAACATTTCATTCCTGTGGCTCTCTTCCCAGGCCCCGATTGTGATTATCTAGTGTACATTCCTCAACACAGATGCTGACATTACTACACCCTTGGTTCAAGGAAGATATAAAAGTGAACCCTTTCCAGTAATCATTATTTATAAACATATTCATTAATCTATGAATATGACATCTAATAATTCTATTCACATTACATATATATATGATTGTTTTCATTCATGGTCATGATAATGCTTCTAATGATACAATTTCTCTCTTGTTCCAACCAGTTGTTTCCTATGTCCACAATGATGTCTATATCTTCCATACTGACCTCATGCAAAATCATAATTTTCAAATTGTACTCCCATGAGCCCAGGGGGAAGAAGTAAAGATGTTGAGGGTGGTGAGCTGCTACCGGCCAGTTCTCTGTAATAGACACATCGCCCTCTTTTCAACCAGGGCAATTCTTTCTGAGTTCATTTCACGATTGGGCTTCCAGGTAAAATTCCATTTGAAATACAAGTTTCACTATAAATTTTTTAAAAATATTTTTATTGATTTCAGAGAGGAATGGAGAGAGAGAGAGAGAGAGAGAGAGAGAGAGAGAGAGAGAGAGAACCATCAATAACGAGAGAGAATCATTGATCTGCTGCCTCCTGCACACCCTCCACTGGGAGTCGAGCCCGCAACCCAGGCATGTGCCCTTGACCAGAATCAAACCCGGGACACTTCAGTCCGCAGGCCGATGCTCTATCCACTGAGCCAAACCAGCTATTCTTCTGATTGTGTTCACTATAAATTTTGAGGATAACTGCATTCACTCACTATTGTGGAAGGGGGCAGGTTATTTCAGACAATAAATAGATAAGATATTATTGTAGTTGAAAAGGCCTTTATTAGCAACTTCCCCTGAAATATCTGCCCTTGTGGCAAAGCCACCTAGAATTTCCATTTCCAGTCCCACCTCTTTTTAAGCATTGAAAACATTAATTTCAGGGGAACTGTAATAGGTTGGACAGGAGAACACATTAAGCCATCCATCAGCACTTTCATATGAATAAGTTTATGTATTAACTCTTGGGCCTGGAGGAAAAAAATTGGTTAAGTTTTTTGGGGGGTGGGGTTGGGGATAGAGAAATGTTTTCTAGGTCACCACTTCAGGGAACTGTAAGTTACTCTGTCATTGGGAAGTGGAGGGGACGAAAAGAAAAGATATGGAACCCTGAGCAGTAGAGGGCAGTGATAAGAAACCTAGGCTCTAAAAGCTGAGGCGTGAGAGCAAAGGGCTGATGCCTAGTGAAGGGTGGAGCAGTTCTCATCTGACCCTCCCCTTGGGCAGTAGAGCTCCTACCTCCAAATCCAGAGATTTTCTTTTCTGATAGAGCTACTTTATTCTTCTGATTGTGTCAACTATAAATATTTTTGTTTTAATTGAATTTTACTTTAAAAGGATTCTGTTGTCACCAGTACCAATAACAGTGCCTAACATAGCTCCATCCTGAGTTCTGTCACTTTCATAAAACAGGTCTATTCTTCCCCCAATTCAGGCAAGAACGTTCTCAAATCTACGCACAAAATTTGTTATACACATTGATATGTAGGGCCCCTATATTTTACGTAGGAAGTTATTCATCTAGGATACAAAGGTAAAATGTAATACCATAAACTCCCCAAGGTATGCACAGAGTATTTAACTCCCACAATTTGTAAAACGAACAGGCAAATGGCCTTCTGGGTCTAGTTTTTACATTACATTAAGGTGATGAGTAAAATTGAGTTATAGCTCTGACTCGGTATGTGTAAATTATTATTCCACATCTCCAGGCCTGCCCTGGAGGAAGTTTCCTTTAAGCATACCTCTGTACACAGTGATTTTGTGCCTCTGACCTAACCGAGCGTGATCCCTGGCTAATTCTAAAGCCAAGTCTGCAGGCAGCTTAACTTTACAAAGGAAGAAGGCAGCAAAGTCTGGATTTTAGAAATACTGTGTCAAGTTCCAATAAAGGTCAACTTCAGATGGGAGTGACAGCTAAAGGGGAGGTGGCTGAGAGGTTTCATAAAATGCAACCAGAACTCTCCGAAGAGTTTTCTTACCAGTCGTCCCCACATTTGTCTATGAAATTTTCAAATACACATAGGAGACTTGCTATCATTCTATACATAGTAGAGTTCACATGCATTTTCCCTCTTCTGCGGGCTGTGATCCCTGACCACTCTGGGAGTCAGCCAGGATGCTACTTCAGGCTGAGGAAAAGCCGGCTGGACCCCAAC